TGTGCGAGAGGGTGAGGAATCAGTCGAGGAGACCTGGGGTCAGAGGCCAGGGGGGAACCAGGAGGACTGCGGTTCTGGGAGTCAAGGGGAGGGAGATTTTCACGGAGGAGGGAGCAGTCAAGAATAGCGAGGACTGGGAAAGCCTTGATGGCTCGGGAAAGGGTGGTTTCTGCTCTCAGCTCTCACTGAGCTGATGAGGATGAGAGTTGAGTAGGGCATGGGGGGGGGCGGGGCAAGGAGAGGCTTCCAGCAGTGACTCCCCCTCCTGACAATGGACATTGGTTTTAACATATCTACTGAATTAATTTTGGTTTCTGCCTATCTGGACTTTATCTTTCTTCTGTATTTTTTTAAAACTAAACATTTTTATTGTAAAAATAATTCAGATTCAGTAAAGTAAATATGAAAATACAGAAAAATAAAAAGAGGAAAAATCATATGTAATCCCACAACTCAGAGATAGGTACTGCAAATATCACAGTGTGATTTTCTTTTTCTGTGCTTTTATTTAACATTAGTAGAAATACACTACCTACAATTTTGTGTCCTGTTTTTATATGCATGACATCATATGAATTTTTTCATATTATTATATATTTGGCAAAATGTGTCCTCTTAAAAAACCATATTTTTTGTTATAAAATACATGTTCATTATAGAATAATTGGAAAAGATAGAAAAAAGTTAGAGGAAAAGATAGAAAACAAGAAGACCAAAACCACCCACAGTCCCACCACCCAAAACAGCATTGCTAATTTTTTTTTTTAAGTATTTCTAGGCATTTTTCTATGAAATGAATTTTTAATGTTTTTATGCTATCAAAGTAATACCACACCTTGGTTAAAAATTCAAATAGTACAAAAGGGCTACTAACGAAAATCAACAATCACTTGCTCTCTCCATTCCCATTTCTAATCTTCCTCCCCTTTTAGCTGTTGGTTCTTCTGATGGTTACCTTCAAATCACCAATACGTGCACACCATTATTTTCTGGGGTATCAATTTTGGACTTTATCTGTGGTGCCTCTGTGATACATGAGGATTTCTCTCACTTGGGCCAATCTTCTTCCGTTCTCTCCATATAATTATGTCAATATTTTTAGTTATTTTTTATAGCAATATAGTATATCTATAGTTTATTTCTTATCCTGCCAATTATGGACAGTATTTGTTGACTTTCCATTTTGTAAGATAGAGATATTAGTGCCCAACTCTTTTCTACCTTTCTCTCCCCAATCAAATCCTTTAAACATAGCTATAATTTTACTGTGCTAATTTTGCATCCTGCTTTGTTTCCATAAGGATTTTTTTTGTAGGTATAAATTATATACAGTAAAGGGTAATGATCTTAAGTATACAGTTTCATGAATTTGTACCTATGTGTACATCTGTGAAACCACCACCCAGATCAAGATATAGAACATTTCCAGCATCCAGTAGGGTCTCTCGTATTCCCTCCAGTTAACATTCCTCCAAAGACCACTACTCTAACCTCTATCACCTTTATAGATCAGTTTTCCCTATTCTTCATCTTACATAAACAAAATCAAACCGTACTCTTGTGTCTGGCTTCCTTCACTCATCATTATGTTTTTAAGATTGATCCATTTTGTTGCATGTATCGGCTGTGTGATATTCCATTGTGGGAATATATCACAATTTGTTTATCTGTATCCTTGCTGAAGAACATATGGGCTGTTTCCAGTTTGGGCCATTATGAATAATGCTGCTCTGAACACAATCTTTTGGTGTTTATAAACACTCATTTCTATTGAATGTCTATCCAGGAGTGAAATTTCTGTGTCATAGTGTAGGTGTATGTTTAGCTTTAATAGATACTACCAACCTGTTTTCCAAAGTGGTTGTACCACTACCAACAGCAATGTATGAGAGTTCCAATTGTTCCTCATCCTCACTAGCACTTGGAATCGTCAGTCCTTTTAATTTTAGCCCTTTTGGTGGGTATGGAATGATATCTCACATTTGTATTTCCCTAATGAGTTCTCTGAGCTTGTCTTTTCATTCTCTTAATGGTTTCTTTTGATGAATGGAAATTCTTAATTTTCAGGAAGTCCAATTTATCAATTTTTTTCTTCATGATTATTGCTTTTGTGTCCTATTTTAAAAGATCTTTGCCTATCTCAAAGTCATGAAGATACACTTCTCTGTTTTCCTCTAAAAACTTTATCGTTTTAACTTTCACATCTAGGTGTTTTGTGTGACGTGAGGGAGGTGTCAATGTTCTTTTTTATCCCTCAAATGATATCCAATTAACCCATGCATCCTTTCTTGAAAAAAATATTCTTTTCCTCTGGAATTGTAGTGGAGACTTTGTCATAAATCAGATGACCATATATGTGTGGGTCTGTTAATAAGTTTTTTTATTGAGTGCTAATAAGTTTAGAAAAATATTATTACATATTCTTTGCAAAGACTTTTTATGGCGTGCACAAATTTTTCATGCCTGCATAATATTCTATTGGGTAGTTTACTTAATAATTCCAATACTGTTGGACATTTAAGTTGTTTTTAATTTAGGTCTGTTAGTTAATAATATTATAAACATTATCTTTTAATAAAACAAAAATAATATATCACTGTTATTTTGCTCTTCTCTGATTACTAGGCAGGTTGACCATTTTCCCACATGTCCCAAACTGTGTAATATTATTTTCCCATTTATTTGCAAGAGCCTCCTGTTTTTGTTATCAGTTTTCTTTATGTAATAAAGATCTTAAACTTGAGTACACATTTATTAAAAATGCTTTGCTAGGGGCTGGCCCGGTGGCGTAGCGGTTAACTTCACGTTCTCTGCTCCGGCAGCCTGGGGTTCACATGTTCGGATCCCAGGCGTGGACCTAAGCACCGCTTATCAAGCCATGCTGTGGCAGGCGTCCCACATGTAAATTAGAGGAAGATGGGCACAGATCTTAGCCCAGTGTCAATCTTCCTCAGCAAAAAGAAGATGATTGGCAACAGATGTTAGCTCAGGGCTAATCTTCCTCACCAAAAAAAAAAAAAAAAAAGCTTTCCTCCAGTTTGTTTGCTGCTTTCTTTTTCTTAACATTCAGAAGTTTAAACTCTTTATATCAAATCTGACCATCACTCTCTTTGTGATTTCTTGGGTTGCTCCTAAGCTTAGGAATGTCTTCCCTCTCCAAAGCTTTGATGAAAATACAATTCTCTCTCTTTTTCTGTCTCAATTTTTTGTTTGATTTTTAAATACTTGTCTCTTTAATCTATCTGGAATTATTTTGGTACATGGCAGGCTTTCTGTGTATCTCTATGATTGCTTTAAATACACATTTTTGTTGTATAAGGGTAAAACTGTGTACAAACATCCTCTGTGATGTTTGTATGTTAAAAGTTTCAAGGAGGAAAAGGTAAAGTCTTTTTTTAATAAAGGACCACAACCCGTTTTTTAATGTTCACAACTTGCAGGGGCTACTGGAGCAATATCTAGAGAGGTAATTGAGAAAGAGGCAACAGAGCTAAACAGTAACAGCAATGTCACACCGGTAATTTAGTCCCCCGGAGGGCTGTATCCTAACTAAGTAGAGGTGGGTGGAGGAAGGGATGGGTAGAAGGAAAAAAAATAGCACTATCCTGTCTTTTGTGGCCTGTGATGGAAAGCACAAGTTTACCACTGACTTCAGAAGTCCAGCTTGGGAGCTGGATTCCAAGGGCCACCTTCCACCAAGGGCAGGTCCTCTGGACTGGTCATTAGACCTAAGTGTGGTCAGAGGTAAAAGGCTTGGATAAAGCAGAGAGAAAAACGTGTGTCCCAAAATAAGGGCACCAGGATCAATGTGATATTTTTTGACAGATTCACCTTTGTCCTGGATGTTCCTTGTGGTGCCACAAGGCATGACTGACCCAAATGACAACAACTCAAGTCTTTAGTGTGATATGGTCTCTTTCCTTCCTGTTTTGGTTTCAGTGGTAACATCTCTGACTGAGCTGCCCTCAGTCACCAAACTATGGGGCAGACTAGCCAATACCTTCCTCATACCTTACTCCCAATACAATAAGACAATGGACTGGGCTCTGGCAGTCTTCTCCCCCTTCTTCCTCTCATCTAGCCAGTTAGGAGGTAGAAAGGAGAGAGTCTGCCAACTAGGGAAAAGACTTAGATAAGTGAGGGTCTGGGCTTAGTCACGGAGGACACAGAACCCTTTGTTTAAAACTAATTGCTGCATTGGTGAATCACATGTTCAGAAATACATATTGTGACTATATTCATTTTTTCCTGTTAGCAATGGTAAGGCCAGAGGAGCTTCACCAGTGTTTGACCCATTATCAGGTGAGCTTGTTAAAAATGCAGATTATGGGGCCGGTCCCAGATCTATTAAAACAGCATCTCTGAGGGCAGGGCCTGGACAGCTACTTTTTAACAACTCCTCAAATGATTGCAATAAACACTAAAAAGAGCTACTGGACCACATTTAATGTAAGACTAGGTGTGAGGCCAACATGGGTCGAATGTCCTGGGAGTCTTTACTTGTATCCATTTCTCTTTTGTTAAAATTCCTTCGTAATGTCCCAGTTTCACGACATAATTTTTGAAATCAAATTTAAACAGCTCTTAAGTATTCCATTAATTACATTCTGCTCCAGTTACAATGTTAATTGGTCCATGTCTGTTTGTATGACACCTGGCACTGGAGGTAGAAAAGTGAATAGGTCCTGCCGACCTCCTGATTCGAAATTTTTGCTAATTATGTAAAAACTTGTTTGGTGTCTATACCCTGGTTCAGGTAAGCCTTACCATACCTAGAATTATCTGGTCTAGTTTCCCATCCATGCAGAAGAATGACTGTTTCTTACTCACGTGTTGGATACTCTAGATCTAAGAAAAAGCCATTCTTCTGCATGGATGAGAGCCTAGACCAGATAATTCTGGATATGGTAAAGCAATTTAGACCCAGATGAGGAAGCCCACATCTGCCTCTCAGTCCTGGTCTTCAGCTCACTGGAGTCTGCCCTCTCTTTCCGCTCTAGCATTGGGCCCTTTGGAAATTGCCCTCACAGTCATCATGACCTTGCTTTCTCTGGGCTCGATCGCCATCTTCCTGGAGGACGCTGTCTACTTGTACAAGAACACGCGTTGCCCCATCAAGAGGAGGACTCTGCTGTGGAGCAGCTCTGCACCCACGGTGAGGGCCCTGTAGCTGCCCTTTGGGAGGGACTGAAGAGGAGGCAGGGACCATTTTGAGAATTCCTCTAAACTCAACAATTCAAGTCAGCAAAGGGTTGCCTGCCTCTACCACCTTAGGGTGGGGGTTGTAATCTGACCTCCATTTGCGGTCAAGACTCCATGCTTGGAAGGCCAACAGGGAGTGGGATGGAGTGTTTGAATTCCTAGAGCCACAGAGCCAGCTGGAGAAACTGCTCAACCTTCCAGCAGCCCCACTCACTACTCCCCTGCCACAGTATTGCTGTTAAAAGCAAGCTTCCTTCCTGTACAGGCAAGTGGTGGGTCCTCAGAGTATAAGAGGGAAAGAGGGCCGGCCCCGTGGCTTAGCGGTTGGGTGCACGTGCTCCGCTGCTGGCGGCCCGGGTTCAGATCCCAGGAGTGCGCCAACGCACCGCTTCTCCGGCCATGCTGAGGCCGCGTCCCACACACAGCAGCTGGAAAGGATGTGCAGCTATGACATACAACTATCTACTGGGGCTTTGGGGGAAAAATAAATAAATAAATAAAATTTAAAAAAAAAAAAGAGGGAAAGAATTTTTTTCCACATGGTCATACTCAGCTCTACTCTTACGTTGTAGGCCTTTTTAACTCATTCCCACAGCCATTATATAGGCCTTTAGCTTGCTCCTAGGCCATAAGATTGGACTTCTGTTTCCTTGTCGTGAGCTCTGTGTATCTCTTTGGGGTGGAGAGTGGAGTCCTTGAGGTCCTTTCCTGCCAGATGACATCTGCCTGGGCCATCTCAAGTAATCAGAGATGCTCTAATAGCATGAGATGTTCAAAAGGAAGTGCTGGATCTTGATCCATTTACTCCTAAGGGTGAACTTACCTACTCCTACCCCAGGGATATAGGATAAGACAGTCTTTAAAAGAGCCCCTGTCTCAAGGTGACTTACTGTCTCAAACCCTAGACATAGAAGGAACTGACAGCTAAATTAAAAAAAATTTTTTTTAATTAGTTGATTTAATTAGTTATTTTTCCAGCCGGCCCCTTCTAAGTAATGGTGCCTCCAATGTTTAGGTTTTGCTTCCTTGGGCCCTTGCCACAAAAGGTCGAGAGGGCGAGCACAAAGTCTCCTTCCTTGCTCTAACTGGCTTCTTGCTCCTCTCCAAGCAGGTAGTGTCTGTGTTCTGCTGCTTTGGTCTCTGGGTCCCTCGTTCCCTCACGCTCGTGGAAATGGCCATAATCTCGTGAGTGTCCTGGCCCACCCGCAGCTCTGGGCCCAGTATCCTTCTGGCATCCCCTTCTGCTCCCCATTCACCCAGGACTAGAGTCTGTGTCTCCTTTTATCCCCCTACCCCTTCCATAAATCCCTGCAAACCAATCAATTGATCACGAATCTAGCCCTTTCCAACTTGTGCTACTCCGGGTCTCTTGAACTTCTGGTTCTGCTCTTCCTCAGCCACCATTTCGTTCCCACAGTCTGAAATTCCCCTCTTTCCAGGCGCCTGGACTCTGTCCTCTCTCTCACTCCTCTTGGGTCACACATTCAGAATGCCTAGTCCCTACCACGATCCCCTCAGTGAGCCCCACCTCTCCCTGCTCCCTTTGCAGTCTATCTTTCTTTGGTAGCAAAAGGTGTTCCCTCAGCTGGCTGCCGCCTCCCATCTGTGCACTCCAGTCCCACCTCTCCCCCTGCTCCTGCTCCAGATTTTACTCGGTGTGCTTTTACCTGCTGATGATGGCCATGGTGGAAGGCTTTGGGGGGAAGGAGGCAGTACTGAGGACACTGAAGGACACCCCGATGATGATCCACACAGGCCCCTGCTGCTGCTGCTGCCCCTGCTGCCCCAAACTCATGCTCACCAGGTAAGGCGGGAGGGAGAGGCATGCTTGAGGAACAGGTTAGCCTCTTCCTGCGCTTTCCCAACAGCCTCTGCTGGCTCTTTCAGCCCTGCTTCAAGCCTGTTGGGATTAGGCTTGTATAGAACAAAACCAATGATGAAAGGGTGGGCATCTCACACCGGGACCCATATACTGGGCACCCACCCAGGGGTAAGGGGAGCAGAGGAAGAACCCCAAAGTTCCCATCACTTAAGCTCTCTGCCCCCTACAAACTTTAGTCACACAGAGCAAACTGGACTTTGGGCTATTTACTTGCCCCTTTTGCCCCTTTTGATTAATGAAGTTGGGTCAACACTCTGATAGTTCTTACTCAGAAGGCAGCACTCTGATCTGGAGGTGAGTGGGAGGCAAGATGAAGGGTTCCTAATGCTCTCAATATTCTTGCTTCTTCCTATGTTCCCATTCATTTAACCATTTTGGTATCTATGATGGCAGCCAAGCCTCAGCCCTGGAGCCCAGTGAGGGAGCGGAGAGTGATCTTCTTGGGGTGGGTAGTTTGTGGGTTCATGTTCCTAACCCTCTTCTCCCTTCAGGAAGAAGCTTCAGCTGCTGATGTTGGGCCCATTCCAGTATGCCTTCTTCAGGATAACAATGGGCCTGGCGGGCCTGTTTCTTATCCCTGATGGCATCTATGACCCAGCAGATGTAAGCCAGGAGTAAGGGGCAGCAAAGTCCAAGACTCATTTAGTACCTCTGAGCTCTAGAAGGAATAGCTGGAGCCAACATCCTCTGATACAAGGCCCCAGGGTCAGCGTAGTTGTGGAAAAGTATAGACTCGGGGACTCTGGTGGGGAGAGAGGAGACCGGAATACGCCAAGGCCTTGGGGCCTTTTTTATTACCTTTCCTACCATGGGACAGGAGAAATAAAAGGAGAAGAACGGGGCTTGCCTCCCTCACTGACTACTTTCTGATCTGACAATAGATTTCTGAGAAGAGCACAGCTCTGTGGATCAACACCGTCCTTGGCATGTCCACCCTGTTGGCTCTCTGGTCCCTGAGCATCATTTTCCGTCAAGCCAGGCTGCACCTGGGTGAGCAGAACATGGGAGCCAAATTTGCTCTGTTCCAGGTAACTATACCCTGGGAGAGAAAAGATGCTTAATAATAGAGCTACAAATAATTGGGGTTAGGAGGTGAGACTAATAAAGGCTAAAAGCAGGTGTGGGAATCTTCTTAGGCCTTAAGTTTCCTGTGCCATTTGGAAAATGATCCTGCCACTTCTCAGTTTTTGCTTTTCTGTGCTGTAATACTTTCCTGGGGCTGCCGTAACAAAATACCACAACCTGGGTGGTTTAAACAACAAAAATTTGTTGTCTCACAGTTCTGGAGGCTAGAAGACAAAATCAAGACGTCAGCTGGGTCATGCTCCCTCTGAAACCTGTAGGGGAGAAGCCTTCCTCGCCTCTTCCTAGCTTCTGGTGGTGGCCAGCATTCCTTGGCGCTCCTTGGCTTGCAGCTGCATCACTTCGATATCTGCCTTCATCATCACGTGGCCTTCTCCCGTCATGTATCTGTGTCTTACGTCTCTTTTCCTCTTCTTATAAGGACATCAGTCATCTTGGAATAAGGACCCTACTCCAGCATGACCTCATCTTAACTAGTTACATCTAATTAGTTAAGCAAAACATGATGCTGTTTTGAAATAAGGTCACATTCTGAGGTATTGGGGGTTAGGACTTCAACATCTCTGTTTGGGGCACACAATTCAACCCCATAACACATATATTATCAAACCTTAAATTCTTCTACGTTTGCTTTTTTCTCTTCTCTTTTCTACCCAGTACTTCCTAAAACCCTATAATTCATCACCACCAGCAGTACCAGCATTATCGCAGCTACAACTATGAACTACCTACACCATGTGCTAGGAACTTTCACTACATTACATTTAAATTTTCACAATAATCTTAGGAGTCATTATTATTTCTGTTTTACAAATGAGGGAACTGAGACCCAGAGATGTCATGGAACTTGCTTAAAGGCACGTAGGGATGGGGCCAGAAATTAGTTAAATCTAAACTCCCCAAACCCACATTCTTTCTTAGCACACTGCCTCTTCCTCTTCACACCTCTTCTGAAAGTTCTATCAAAGGCACATTTGTTCACTTTTTACACTTTTCATTCTCTAAACCCAAAGATAACTTTTCCACCAAATGCAATGACTTCTAGCCCAATCTTGTTTTCCTTCTCTCTTCATTCTTTCTGTCTTCTTGCTGGGCCCATCTCCTGTTCCCAAGGTATAACAGCTGCTTTATAGTTAAAAGAGTGATTTCACATAAATTCTCATTTGATTTAAGCAGATGCCTCTGGAATGTGCATTTCCAGGCACATAGCAGGTAGAATTGAAGGGGCTATGGGAAGAGAGAGGAAAGAGCCTGAAATGCAGTCAGGGACTGAAGGACAGAAAGGATCTGGACCCCAGAAGCACTTAGGATCAGGCCACAGGGTACAAGCCCTGTGATTACCCCGTGGTTACTGTGGGGAAGCCTGGAAAAGCAGAGTCTGCCTAGAAGAGGCTGTTGCTCCAGGAAAGTATACTCAGGGAAGGCAAATACTAAGACAAATGGTGCTCCTGGGGCCTCTGGACAGAGATTTTCCTTTTCTTTTCTTTTTATTTTTTTTTTTTGGTGAGGAAGATTGGCCATGAGCTAACATCCATTGCCAATCTTCCTCTTTTTTTGCTTGAGGAAGAGTAACCCTGAGCTAACATCTGTGACCATCTTCCTCTATTTTGTACGTGGGACGCTGCCACAGCGTGGCTTGATGAGCAGTGCATAGGTCTGTGCCCGAGATCTGAACCTGCGAACCCCGGGCTACCAAAGCAGAGTGCCTGAACTTAACCACTACGCCACTGGGCTGGCCCCCTCTTCTTTTTTTTTTTTTAATTGTGGTATAATACACATAAAATTTACCACTTTAACCATTTTTAAGTGTACAGTTCAGTGGCATTAAGTGCATTCGTCCATCACCACCATCCATCTCCAGAACTTTTTCACCTTCCACACAAAAACTCTACCCATTAAACACTAATTCCTCTTTTCCCCCCTCTCCCTAGCCCCTGGCATGGCCAAGATTTTTTCAAAGGGCACTTTAATGGTTCATTGTCCACCATTCTATGAGCAGGGATCTCAGATACTTGAGCTAGATGGAATGACTCTTCTCTAATTATCCACGCTTTTCATCCATTAAGTGCTCATTAGTAGCCATAGCTGAGATATGGAAATAAACATGAACCCCCAATCCGTTCTTGTTGTTTCTTCTCAGGAGCTCTCAAAAAATATTGAGTAGAAGACAAGATTGTAATTTGTCTAAAGGTTAAAACTCCACAAAATTTTAATCAAGTGTGAGTCTCAACCCTCTGTAACTGCACAGATCTAAAGGTCGGCCAAATGCACAGTGGAAGGACAAGCACAGCAGTGGGCCAGCCGGCCTCAGCGCCATGGGTGCTGGGCCCACCCTGCCCTAGCTTCTCTTTTCTGTTTACAGGCACTCCTCATCCTGAGTGCCCTGCAGCCAGCCATCTTCTCAGTCTTGGCCAACAGCGGGCAGATTGCTTGTTCGCCTCCCTTTTCCCCTAAAATCAGGTCTCAAGGTGAGCACACAGGGGATCCTATCCCATTCCAGGATGGGCAAGGGGGGAGGGTCAGGGAAGAGAGGACCTTAGAACAGAGGTTGAGCCAGCCTGGTTTCCACTCAAAATACTCAGAAAGGGAGCTCCAAGAAATCCCAGCAGAGGCTTTAAGGAGACTATGACTTCTTTGATCACACAGAAGAGAGCTGCTATCCCATAGCTTGAGGCCAGCCCTGATGGCCAACCCAGGAAGTCATGGGTACAATCCTTAGCTCCTGGGAGAAGAATGGGTATGGTTGGGAAGCAGAAGGTCATGCTGATAAAACACACAAAAGAAATGAGGTTTAATGCTAGCCTCAGATTGCAGAAGGTAGAGAGCCAAGTTCTATTTCTGCCTCTACCATTAACCTGTTATATTACTTATGACAACTTAATATCTGTAGGTCCCGGTTTGAGGATAAATTGGAGAAAGTGTTGTTCAACTCATATGCAAGGGCTGCTGGTGCGATACTACCTCTATAATTTAGCATAACCTACATTATATTTCACCCTATGCTCCAGTGATGAATTGCCACCTCCTCATACTGGAAACTTTTCTGCTAACTGTGCTGACACGAATCTATTACCGAAGGAAAGATGACAAAGTTGGATATGAAACTTTCTCTTCTCCGGACCTGGATTTGAACCTCAAAGCCTGAGGTGGATGGCTTGGACAATGAAAGAGACACTGTACTCATTAGACGAGCAAGAGATTTCTTCACTGTCCCTTAACCTTGACCAAATGGGGAAGGATTCCATTGTCAGCACAAAATGGCAGATTACCTTTGACTATAGACATGAAGATGAATTATGCAATAGGATGAAATTGTTTTGGATCTTGCCTGGGGAAGGTATTTTAAGTTTTATAATAAAAAAACAGGATGGGTTTAAAACTCTACAACTGGGCACATTGCCTCTGTGGGTGCCACTATTAGCCCTTAAAGCCTCTATATTGAAAGGTCACTCTGAGCTTTCCCAAAGCAAATGAAAAGCGAAAGAGTATATGGTAGTTCATCTGGTATAAGAACTGAGTAGAACTCAGCAAGGCAAAACAGTACAAGCCCCAAGTCTCAAAGAAATAAAGCTTCTGAAGAACAGATGGAAGGTGCTCTTTCTCTTACAGATGTGTCGTTGGGGTACTGATGACATCAGACCTGGAAGATCTAGATCAGCCTCCATTTGTGGGACAACAGCTTTTTGAGTCTTCTGTGCCAAGCTGCAAAAGGAATCCCCCAACAATATGGTCATGGAGCTTGATTTTGAGGACAAATATTAGGATGCAAAAGCAAAAGAACTGAGAGTACAGGTAAAAACCCCAAACACATGAAATCTATCACACATGTATACCAGGTCAAAAACAAAGGGAATGAACTTCAGGTAAAACCACTTTGCCTTTATTTGGCTAAATGACAAAAGCCAATGTAACTCTGAACAAATTAATAACACTCAGACAGGAAAACAATATACTCAACACCGACTGAAGAAAATGTCCCTGTAGACGCCGGCACTGGTGATGGGGCTAACATTCACGCCACGGCCAGCATTTCTTTCCCAGACTCGTTTTTGCGGGTTCCTCAATACAAAACAACCCAACTAATCAAGTCTCTGTGTTCAAAACAGTCAGTGCCTCCAAAGGAAGGGTGGGAAAGCCCACTTTATACCTAAAGGAACACAACTTGAGTCATCCTAACGTTCAACTTAGTACTTTTGTTTTCTACCCCAGTCTGAGTACTAACATAAAACTTTAGCAGACAGAATATCTTCTTTCTTTTAAAGAAAATTAACATTTAATAGTTTAATCCCAAGAACACGTTCTACTTATTTGGAAAATTAGAAGCTAGGGACCACTCTTTATCCCATGACAATCTATTCTATAAGAGAAGACAAGAACAATCATTGTATGACTTTGAAAAATATAGCCTTTAAAAATACTTATATTGGTAAGCTTAAAAAAAATACCATTAATTAAAAACATCGTTATGGAGGCCTTTTTTCCTGCCTGTAGTGGTTCAACTTCTGGTGAGACTGTGTGCTGACAGAAAATGAGAAGCTATGGCTTTTAGGAAATTAAAGAAAAGCAGAAAAATATAATTGATTTGGAAAGATTTTAGATAAGGGATCTGGAACCAGATTAAAAAGGAAATGAGCTCCAGGGGAGAAAAAAAAAAAAAAAGCTACCCACAAATCAAGATATTCCAGAAAGACAGTAATAAAAACACTATGAAAAACCATTGTGGAGAGACTATCCAGAGACTGCCTGACTGGCTGTGGTCTCAAGTAAAATAAGAAAAATGCAACTCAGGTGCTGCCTAAGAAGTTATCAGTGATCACAAAAGGTCAAAAGTTCTCTTGACCTCCTCCATATTTTCTCTTCTCTTCAGCATTTTCAACCTCCTCACATCCCCAACCTTCTTACCCAAGCCTCAGCAAAATAATGGTCTTTGGCTCCAGCTATCAGAAGCAGCTGCAGCAGTACAAATGATCCATTTCTATTCCTCTAAAGTTTCAACCTCTATTCTTCAGTTCTACTGTGTCTAGTGTATGAAAAGAGCAAACTTCCTGCTCAGCCCATCTCAAGGTAACTGCTGAAATGGCACCTCTTCAGCACCAGCTACAGGGCTTCAGTCTCCATTCTCCTTCTATCTTGCAGGCAGAGGCTCCAAGGCCAACCAACTTTTAAGGCTCTCCCATCTCTGCCACATTTGGCCTATTCAGGCTGACTGCTTTGTGCATGGATTCAGAGAAATAGCTCCACAGCCTCAAACATTAATATTAGAAGATTTACAGATCACAGGCATGGTCATGGTATGCAAACCTCTAACCTCATTTAATTAGGCACAAATATCAAATAATGCATCATCCTAACAGCTTCCTCTATCCACTCATCCTTATCCAGCACCTAGGATCACATTCATCCCAAAGTATCTAACATGCCACACCATAAAAGTTTTGCTGTAAGTCAAAATTATTTGAAGATATACTAGTGTTAGGAGACTGAGGCAGTAGAGGCTCACCAAAAGGGGCAAGAGAGTTTTTCAGGAACACATGCACAGGCTGGCCCCAGCAGTCTCACAGAGCTTATCAGCCTGGAGGTCATATTCCAAGGGCAGGGCATGCCGAAAGCAGCCCATTGACAGAGCAGAGCAGGCCCCAAACATTTGGGACCTAGACATGACATACACTTGAGAGGAGTGACTGCAGGGAGGAAAACCACATTCTAGGCATCTCCCTTTCCAAATACACTTGGATAACACGTGTACTTTGAGGGAACAAGTAAGTGGGCTTCAGTGGTGACTGCATCGCGTTTCTATACCAGGGAGAATAAGACAAAAACAGGCAGAATTCCAAGAGGGAAGACTGAAGCAGAAAAGTTAAAATATGTGATCATATGAAGCTGGGTAATATAAGAAAACATTAACTCCAACTGTTTCAAAAAAAGGATTCCAAGCCAAAGCTCGTGTAAACTAGATTTGATAGTAAAGATAGCACTTCATGAAGAGAGTTAGAAATGTAGTTTTCATAGGCCATCAGGACAAGAGGTTTCCCCCTCTTTGTCCCTCTACTCTGTCATACTCTGACTCTCTGGGTGATCTGAGTTTTAAGGACATAGGTAGTCCTGCTGTGCAGGCAGGCAGTGATTCTAGCCTTTGACCCTTAGGCAGAAGAGTAGGTTTTATCAGAAAGTTTTTATGAAGGGGACTATGAGATCCTCATAGCCCTAGCAGAGAGGCAAGAAAAGATGAAATGTGGTTTTCTTAGCTGAAAACACTAAAACTTCACCCCCACAAGGGGTATTTATGAGTGACGGGGTGGGGCTTGGACATAAGCAATTTTCCCCTGAACCCAGCTACAGGATTACTGTGGATGATGTTCTGCGAGGTCATGTAGCTGTAGGATGCTGGAGGTTTAAATGAGCTCATGCTCAACAGCAAGTGTTAGGTTTCAGCATTCTCTGATGTGAAATTGAAGAGGTGAATCCCCCTGGGCAACGTTAATAGGGGAGGTAGAACCATAACCACCAGGCACACATGGAGAGGGAGAGACCCTACCATACTCTTGTAATGTGAACCCATGCTTTGTGGCCTGCTGGAGGGGCAGTGAAGGGAAGTCTCTGTCAGCTGCAACTCTGAGGAAAAGAAACACTGCATGGAGCACTGGTTCCAGTTAAGAACATTCTTAAGAGGGGCAGAGGTCAAGATAAGGCTTTAGAAAGGGGGGTTGTTTACTTACACTTTTGTGTCTATGTTCTGTGCACATCTCTCTAAATGTTCAATATGGCTATCAGCAACATGGATTAACAGATCATGTTCAAACTGCAGACATTTACAAAGTATTCTTTGTAAAAAGCTAGGTAATAAGCACTGAAATAGCAGTAGCAGGGCCAGAGACTTACTCCCAGCAGAAAAATTAATCTAAACTGACTTGGTATATGATTGAGTATTGTCCCACTCCCCTCCTCAATCACAGTAACCCAGAAAGTGTTCCTTCCTTTAAAAGTAGATTGCAGAAAAGAGATTGACAAGAGCTCCCAAATAACTGGGCAAGACATTTTCTGAGAAGATGAACACAGCAGAAAAGCTGCAGCTGATGCCATGTGGTCTGGTTCCATCCCCATCAGTGTCTTCATGGACCCCACTGGGTCCAACAAGAAACTCCTCAGGGAGTAAGAAAAGTTAGGCTCAGATCTCCTTCTTCCCACAGCCACACTGACACATGTATCAGCAGTACATTTAGAGGATTTGTGACTGTAACTCAGCTTTTAGCTTTTCTTGAAGGTAACCAAAATTATGATATTTCCCCCCCAAATCATCCATCAGCATGGCTCATTGCTTGAAGGATTTGGCAAGCCAGTTTGCCTCAGAAGAAGAGGCAAACACCACAGTGTATCAGGAAGAAAAGGTCTCTGGGTATTATACCACTTCCTTCTGCCCACTCCTCAAGGGCAAAAAATTAGTTCTCCTTACTATATTTGAAAGATTAATTTTTTAAAAATTAATAAAAATGACAATTTCCCTGTCAAGATCACATGAACATAAACAGTAAAGCAAAGTCCATGGGGAGGGTATATGGATGCAGAACAGGCTTCTAAGGTGTAGTCAGCCTCCTTCTTGGTATGGGTGGGTGATGTCTCTTGGAGGACGCGCTGTCTGGTCTCCTCATCCTAGGTCCTCTTGCCCCAATTGTCTTTCGTTTGTAGCTGTCCTTACGTTTAGTGTTGGGATCACAATTTGGAATTCAACAAAGAGCTTCTGAAGGTGATGGGGCAGAGGGAGGGGAGAGGAAAGGAGGGATGAAAAATTAGTCTTCTTCATCCTCACTGATATCATAGGCTGCAGCCTTGTGCCTGGAGAGGTTTGTTGGGGAGGAAGGTGGGGAAGTCTTGCCAGAGAAGGGCCATCGGAAAGAGGGGGAGGGGGAGCGTTCACGAGTGGGGCTGCTGCTGGGACTCTGCTTTGGACTGATGGCCTGCAGCATCCGGCCTTTCCCCTCTTTCAGCATATGTTTCTGAGGAGACCAAAAGGAAGAGTTAGGAAAAAACCTATGGATCCTACTAAATCACCACTAGAGGATCTAAGACTTCAAATTACCATGAGTGCTCTCTGTAATGTCAAAAGTGATCAAGCCAGAAGAGGGACATAGCTATGATTCTGGGCAATTTCTTCCCTAAAGTGGTCTATGCTATACTACTTATCTAAAGGGTCCCACCTGCTATCCATAGTCACCCATGGATATGCCTGGACTTCTTAAAGGAGTTCTTAAAAGGCTACTTGGTCTGTAGTCCAGGCTCCAGGCAAAAAGCAAAGGAACTAACTCAGACAAAAGGGTACCAATACTAGTTTTAAAGTCCCCTGAAAAGAAAATTCCATATTCTCCCTGAATAATCTATTCTGATACCCAAACACTCTCATGGGTCAGATGCTTCCTGATATCTAACCTAGGGCTCACGTGTTGAATAACTACACATACACCTTTTATTTGGCTGGAAAAGACCTTGCTACTCCTCAGGGACAGAATTCTCACCTTACCCAGCTATCCTGCAGCAGCTGTTTGTAGTGGAGGCAGCTTTCTTTTTACTGTTCTTTGTTCTGTCCTTTCCTTCTGATAACTATAATGTAGAAGCAAGCTGGGCAAGACTATTTGCTTACCTTGTCACCAGATTTGGAGGTTGATAGAGAGCAGGCAAAATTATTCAGGAGAATGTATAAAGGTTTTAAAGAACTCTTTCTGTAAAGATTTTAAAGAACTTTTTGGGGCTAGCTGAAATATAGTTCTGACCAATAAGGGGAACAGATTAGACAACTTCTTAATGTCAATGTCCCTTTCTACTTAACGCTTCTATAATGCTTTCCATAGCATGAGAATTCCCTAAATTTTCCTGAAATTCTCTAAATTGTCCAGCAAAAAAGAACATACCAGTGCTCCTTCTGGACCAAACATTTCCAGGAAACTTCCAATGAATTCTCGAGATTTCTCCTCCCATTTCTGAATGAGGTCAATGCTTTTTTCCTCTACCTTCTGAACAAATTCTTTTGACTTTTCCTCCACGTCTCTCACTTTCTTCTTTACTTTGTCAACCCGCTCCTGCAAGTGGTATTTCTTCTCCTAGGTAAAGAAATAGCTGTTTTGAGAAACAATACTCACTCTGACCTTCCCTACCAAAGAGGAAAGAAAAAACTTGGCAATCTATTGACACTCTTTTCAGTCTTCAGAATTTCACTTTGCTTTACTCTCTCCCACACTTCTCTAGCATAATAACAGATAAAATATGCTCTGGATGGTCATCTTATGCGAAAGGGTGATAAGTCCGGGACTGAACTAAATATATAGGGTAAGCCTGTTAACAGACAGGCATGTAGCCAAATGAAGTCTGATTTTAAAAGACAAAACATAAACTTGGACATAAACATGCCAACATGACCCAAACCCCATTCTAGACGGAGATGTACTGGGAGCAATGAGATCACTGCACAATATTGCCAAGAATAAGCCAACTATAATAGGTTGAAAGTGGAAGTAGTGGATCTTTTACTTAATTCATTTATTGTACTGAATTTTTTTCCTTCTATCACTGGCTTATTCTATGATTTTAAAACAGTCCTTTGTTTTATTTTTTCGTATTTGGAGGTCTGTTTATTCGCAAGATGAAGATGATACTCTTTGGTCCTATCAGCTTCCCTAAAGATAAGGGAAAATGGTATACACCCCCGGTGGGGGTGGGGGAAGTCTTTAGCCAAATGAAAAGGATTCTCATAATTTCCAGATCATAAAGGGAAAGGAATATGTTTAGAGTTTTTAAACATCTAAAAATAGATAAAGATTTTGTAGTAGGTGGTTAACAACTGTTAGGGTTTATTGCATAGATAAATCATATTTAGATGAAACCAATTCACCTATTCTTATAATTCACAGAGCTGAGAGCAGGTGAGGGAACGTGATAAACTACTTATGTAGAAGATATAGTTAGCATCTTTCTTCTTCTATTTAAATCAACTTTATTGGAGTATAAGTTATATACATAATATATAGCAGTTTGTTTCTAAAGGGCAATATTAAGCCAAGATAAACTTTGCTTTCATAAATCAAATTTTAAAACTTAGGTCCATGTGCTCTAAGAAATTGCATGCAAAATGTTGTGTGTCACTATCCACACAGGGAGACGATCCACAGCTTTCATCAGATTTTCAAAAGACCATCCAATCAAAAAAAAAAGGGTAAGAACCACAGTTTTAAATGTATTTGATCTAAATACTACACTATGTAAGCTACACATTCTTATTAATTTAATTGGCTGTGTATCCTTATTATCAATGTGTTGATAATAGACAATAAAGGCAGAAAATGCCTCTTTTCCATTCTCTTTGTAAAGAGCTTAGCATAGTGTTATCTGCAAAGAGGCATTCACTGAGCTTTTGGAGGTAATAATTAGAGCAGACTGACAAGTAAGTTTAGCTCAGATGAAGTGGCAGGCAACGTGTGTCCTAAGGCCAGGGAACTCTGGGATGAGGTTGGAACTCACGTTGATAAAGCTGACGTTGAGCTCCTTGGCCGTGTAGCCCCTTTGTAGGTTCCGTCTCGCGTACACATCATAGTCCCGGACAATTCGGGTGATGATGTCTGATGTGGAGATACCTTCTGTCCTCTGTGTTGGAGCAAACATGCCTAACCCAAGAACACAAACACTGTGACATTCTGGTTAGCTCAGGCAGTAGGACTAGATGGAAACTGGGTACAACATTCCTTTCCTTTCCTCAAAAAGCAGAATCTGCTAAGTGAAGTCTGGAGATACTGATATACAGGAGGAGGACTGAATCAAAAGCTAGGGGTGGGCCGGCCCCGTGGCTTAGCGGTTAACTGCGCGCGCTCCACTACTGGCGGCCCGGGTTCGGATCCCGGGCACGCACTGACGCACTGCTTCTCCGGCCATGCTGAGGCCGCATCCCACATACAGCAACTAGAAGGATGTGCAACTATGACATACAACTATCTACTGGGGCTTTGAGGAAGAAAAAAAGGAGGAGGATTGGCCATAGATGTTAGCTCAGAGCCGGTCTTCCTCAGCAAAAAGAGGAGGATTAGCACGGATGTTAGCTCAGGGCTGATCTCCCTCACAAAAAAAAAAAAAAAAAAAGCTAGGGGTAAGGAAAAAGGGAGCTACATGGTCCTAATATTAAGAAAAATAAGCGGCCGGAGAAGGGTTTCCTGAAATTAAGAGAGTCCAAAAGTAGATGTTTAGACTGAGAATTGACAGATGTCAGTGCCAAGCTCACCTTAACCTTTTACCCAAAGTGTGACCTGAAAGTGGATGTTGAATTTCTTAGTGTATAAATTTTCCTCTGTAAAGTAGTGATGTGGCTGAGTCTCTGTCGCTGCCCGAGACTCCATGAAGTGAGGATGCATGTCAACTTACTCACCTGCTTCTTTGATGTGCTTATAAACATCATCACTCCCAGCAGAAGAATAAGGTATGTCATCATGGGCTACAAAATCAATCTGAAAATAAAGAAACATTATTTAAAACCCATTTCTGCCATTCATAAAGAACCAGTAAATACTCTCAAGCCCAGAAAAAGGACAACAAACAAAAGCCAGGCCTCAAATGGACTTTTTCTCTGTCTCTCTTTGCTTTGCTCATAAATTCCACGATTCATTCACAAACCACCCAACTTAATTATTTACGGATCATAAATACGAAGTCAGCTAGTTTCTTTTTCAGTTATTTTTCCTGGTCTACTGGAAGTGCTACCCCACACTGTGTACCAGTCACCATGCTGTGGTCAATAGGGCTGGAAGACTTGCTGGTGAGCTAGTTAGTGGGTGGAGCCGAGGAAAGAAGAAAGGAAATCTCCCCATCCTCCTGGATCTATAATGATTGATTAAATAAGAGTTTCTAAAAATATGAGAAAGAGGTCACTTCTGTGTTAACTGGTTTCTCTCTCAGTCCATGAGTAGGAAATAAAAATAGCAACCAAGAGCCCTTTGAATGGAATGGATACATCTGTACTCCTGAGAAATACAAAACCCAAAGCCATAAAAGACCTTTTGGTCTCAGGATCTATCATTTTACTACTGTCAATGAGAAGACGTCAATGGCACTGGGATCAAAAATCTGTCTGAGGGCCCTGCTAAACCTCACTAATTTACTCCTTCCTGAATAGGCCATAAGCCCTATGCTACCATAATTGCTAATACCACCATACCAACTCCCAGAAGCCACTGTAGTGTGAAGCATGCTCATCAAAACTATGTCAGGACTCTAGGCTAACATCTCAATTACCCATGAACAACTTGTCAGGGATCCATAGGCAGCAAAGCAAAAATAAGTATGGTGTGCAAGCAAGGCTCGTGGTTGAGGATATACTGCCAATAAGCAGAAAAGAGAAGCTGGAAGTTCCTCCAACCTCTTCTGTCTGGGCCTGCCTGGCTGTGTTGCTGACAATAATCTTTCTTATCACCTTTGGTGCCACTGGCTAAGTGTTGAGAAGAAAAGCTAGAGAACTATAAAAGATCTGTCCTAATCCTAAACAGTTATAACAAATATCCCTTAGCTTCAGGCCTACCCAAGTATTGCTTTTGAAGCACTTTGGCTACCTTTGCTCTTTCCTGCCTCACTGAACAATTCATCTGCAACATTCCACACACCCCTGTAGAAAACTGACAATATGCTTGCTGATTCCTCAAGCATGAGGATGCTCAACCTAGTCTGATAAATCTTTCTCATCCTTTATACCCACCTTTTGTAGGAAACCTGTTGCTTTAATGTGAGAGAATTCAAAGAAGGTAAGAGTTTTACAACACTAACTCACAGAATAAAAGTGAGAAACATCCCTGGTTTCTGATCCTAGACAACTTCTAGCCCCAAATCAAAGCCCTGAAACTAAATTTAAGTTAACACAAGAGAAGTCTATGTCTATCTGTCTTATTTCCTGGAAAGTGAACTCCTTGAGCACATGGCTGGGGCTATGTATATTCTGAAGAGACTGGTATGTTATGAGGGTGGACACACCTATAGCGTGGGAGGGAAAAAACCACATAACTGAAGAGCAATTTCTAGTTCTGCTACAGTGTGACCTGGAGCAGGTTATCTGGTCTCTGTGGGCCCTTTTCTCATAGTAAAGTGGAAATAATAACTACACTACAAGATTATTGTGGGAGCAATGAAATATAATGGATATAAAAGTGCTTGTAAACCATCAAACCCCATATAAACGTCAGGGATAACTACTATTATTAGTAATATCACCATCATCTCCTCTATGTGAAACTTACATAGAAGGTAGAAGTAAAATAGGGCTAGTGGAAAACTAGTACCAGAAGCCTTGAGAGTTGAGGGAATTCTGAAACAAGGAATGGGGACTTGTGCCCAGTTTCTTACCCGGTGTTCTGCCAAGAACTCCGGTGTCAGGGTCCAGGGGGCATTCCTCACCACCTCATCCACATAGCGGCAGTGCTGCACTGCATCATAGCGCTCATTTTCATTCATCACTGTGAAGCCTTTGAAGTTGTGCGTTAGCTCATCACTGCAAACTGAGTTCACCACATCATAAACTTGTAAGTCAAAGTCCCCTTTGCTTAACCACTACTTAGTCACCAACTTCTCCCCTCCTCTCTCATTTCCCAGGACTATAACCAATCTCCCCACCTGGAGAAGAATCTTCTGGATATAGTTCAGTCTGGGTAACAGTGCTTTACCTAATCCAAGATACACCTTCAGGAGCAACACTCACTACATATTATGTTCACGTTTTGGAGAAGAGAGGATACAATAGGCTTTGAAATGAACCTGGTGTGTATTTCTGCATCAATTAAGTCTTTAAAAATGTTTTCCCGATATACTTTTATAAGAATGGACTAAATCACATAACATTTGCTTGGCAGACTTTTGTATTTCAGTAGATTCAAAATGATAAACTGAAATCTAGAGCAAATGCTGTTCTTAAGGTAGGCAATAGGGGTCAACATTGCTCCCATGACTGTAGAAACTCAGCTAAAAGCAGTGAGATAAATACTGGCCATCTCAGGTCAATGAGCCTGGAGCTCCTCTCTCCAGGTTTAGGTTGCTAGTACCTCATATACTTTATGTTTTAGAAGGATGTACAATAGCCCTCATTTAAAAACCCAAACAAGGGCGAATAACAGTTGATAAGGATATGAGAGAGAAAAGGACTACTATAATTTTTTTCTAGACAGCACCTAAAATCATCAGATATTTTCTTACCTCCCACAATGAGGTATGTATTAGGGAAAAGGTTCTTTGCTTGCATCAGAGCCCGGGCATGACCAGAGTGAAATAAGTCAAATATTCCATCTGCATAAACTCTCACAGGCCGCTCACCTAAATCCAAAAGAAAGAATTTATCACAGAAATACATTGATTCAAAACCCTGTATTTGACAAATGGAAATGCCACTAGGTAACTGTTCCATCCTGCATACCCTTCTCTTAAAGTGTTCTCTGGATATTCACCCTAACCTGGGAGTGGATTGGAGTTGTGAGAAATAACATGACAAACCTCCTTGGCTAAAAAGACCCTCTTGACATCATATCCTCTAACTCTCTTTGTTAGCCTGGTTGTACCAAACTGATAAGGTAACTGGATTTGATGATTTTTCTTAAAGTTATTTAAAGGTTATACAACAGATTTGTCCTGACCTTCAAAATTCTCACCTTCAATTTATCTTTAAACTTCAGTTATGTTTGAACAGAGTATAGTTAAACTATATTCTGGCTGCTTGCTCTCTCAATTTCAAGAAAGCTGCCTGGATTACTACTGACTAATGCTTTGCTTTGAAAATAAATCTCCCTACTATTGCCTGGAGAGTAAGGAGTGATCCAGAGGGTTGAGATTGAGAAAGAGGGAGGGTAAGTACCAGTTATTGGTTTAAAATTCATTAACTATGGCATGTGTAGATTCTTTATTGGTTTATTCCTTGTCCAGCACTGGCATGAATAGTCAGTTACTTGGTTATTTAACATAAAACCAAATAGACAGTATGAGATACAGGAGAAAAAACAGAGATTAAATTAGACTGTCAAACTTTTTAGGCTAATTTGTGACTATTCGTTCTGCCCAAAATGCACTAAGTTTGCTGACGGCCTTCTATGGTTTATAACTAATGTCTACAAAGAGTACCATCACTCCAGGGTGAAAAGAACACAAGGATGGAAAAACCTAAGTTTTAGCTTCAATTCTGTCACTAATTATCTGTTTTACTGTAGGGGAGGCTTCACTTCTTAGTTTCTATGAACCTTAATTTCTTCATGTATATAATGAAGAGACTACAAAGTAGATAATCTCAAAAATGACTTACTCGTAAAATTCTATTATTCTAAAAGTTAAAAAAACTAGGTTTATTAGTTAGTGCTTATTAAGTATAAGTTTCAAAACTTGGGAACAGTACACTTACACATATACACATTTTATGTACCACAAATGGTATGTGGGATAGATTAGCAACAAGATGGGTAATATAACTAATGTTATCAGATCTGAGTGCGGGACTGCATTCTGAATGTGTGTCATTAGAGAGTACATGAAAAGTTATCGACCTCAACAGGCTCTACTATCACATCTGACTGTGATCCTTGAACTGTTTAGTGGCATTTTGAAATTTGACCTACCACCATTACATGCTGCTACATATAGCCTCTGTTGTTCCTTGTTGTCATTCTACCCTGCCCCATTAGCCTGTCTTGTTACTCAAGTAAGGGGAGCCAAACCCAAAAAATCACATGATGAATCAGAAGGGTTGTGATCAACGTGAGCTATATCTAATCACTTTTACAAAAGGAAAGTATTCTCTGGAATTTTGTGGACCCCCAAATCATACTCCATATAGCTAAGACATAGCCAAGGGCTATTGGGATCCCTGGCCTGACACTGTCCAGCATTCATTTCTATTCGTATTTTACTACTCCTCAGTTACAACAGAGAGCAAACATATCAACACAATTAAGTAACCACAAATATCTTCTATATACTGGAAATGTATAGATTTGTGGCTATAACTGCCTCTTATTCCCTAGTGCTTACCTAGATTTGAGCCCAGCCCTATATTTACAGAGTAGAGAGAACACTTAGCACAGTAATCAGAAAAATTGAAAAAGAATTGGAACAAAAGGAGAATTAGAGAATTTATAGAGAAGGACAGCTGTCTATAGGGCTTTATATTCCTAACAAATGCTCATGAAAGTTTCTACTTATGATGATCACTAAAACCAATTGTTCAAAACAGGAAGAATATCTAGAATACATATTAATAATTTATGTGGTCAAAAATTGCTAATTAATGATGTAAAATAAACAAACAAATAAAAAGTATGGGCTTTGAATATAATAAAGTGAGTCAAAAAAACCCTGGAAAATTATAATATCAATAAAGATAAAATTAAGTGATAAGCATCTCTCAACCTGGGATAATTTTTGTCCTGTATCAATCAGCAGCATCATAGCTAGAGTATTGACTAATAGAATGCAGGAAGATTTGAAGGACAATTCTGAAGGTTATTAAAAATGTGACAGCCTGACATATTATTTGGACCTTTGTAAAAACAGACAAGATTATAACCCAGCTTAGGCTAATATCTCATTGTCTCTGCTCTGCTGTATCTCATAGTTGTGACAACAGCCCAGGAAGCAAGTGTGTACCACTATATTTCATAGCTACGACATACCTTGTGACCTGGGAAACAAGTGAATAATAATAAGAAAAAATAAAATTTTATGGAGTAGAATTATCCTCTCAAATAGAACAGCAAGGCAGATAGAAGGAACTCCTCCCCCAACTAGCCTTTATAGGTAAACTGAGAGATGAATAAAGACAGTAGGTCTATATTTGATAAATACAGCTGAATGCTAAAAACAAAAACACATCAATTAGGCATTTACTTACAAGGAGTTCCTCTGCTGGCTTCTTCCATAGTTACCCTGACATAGGGCTTACTAAAGTCTACTTCAATTTCATCAGAAAAAGGGGCTGGCTGCCGTAAGCCCTTAAGAAGAAAATGAAAGAAAATAAAGCTAAATTCAACAGTACAATTGTTGTTGAACAGTACAATTGAACAGTACAATTGTACTGTTGAACAGTACAATTCAGTTTGTATTTCAGTACAAACTGAAATACTCAAAAAACAGAGCTTTTAAGAACAATCAGTTATTCAATGTGCTGTGATTGAAATTCCTCCTAAAACTTTATAACGTTAAAAAGAAAAAAAGGCATTCTAAAATGACAAGTAAAAGTTGCAACCTTTTACCAAATGGGTAAATCATAGCATGAACGATAAACGTCTTGCTGGTGATTTCAGGGTAAGACTGAGCAAGGTGGCTGGGAACCTAAGCACAGGCCCAACTAACTGGGTCCAGAATGATGGCTCCTCTGTCACATGGCAGAACAGCAACCTTAGCATTTTGTTCTATGTGACAAAATTGACAAGGTTTGTAAGTGCATTTTTGTACCACTTCAACCAGGGGACTGAGAAGACAAACAGCTTCTGTGTACTTTATTAAGCACAATTATCACTACGTAATGCTATACACTGTAAATATGTTCTAATGCTCATAACAGTCCTGTGAAGCAAGTAGTACTATAGTTATCCTCAATTTAAAGATGAGGAAAACAAGGTTCAGAGAAGTTATATGAATCGTATGCAATTACTCAGAGGCAAAGCTGAAATAAACATGCAGGTATGTTCTTTCCTCTATAGAGGAAAGCCTCACTAAAGAGTTTTTGTTAAATTTATTCCAAACTCTAAGTATTTTATTCTATTTGATGCTATTGTGAATGGAACCGTTTTCTTAATTTTATTTTTTGATTGTTCCTTGCTAGCATATAGAAATGCAATTGATTTGTATGTGTGTATCCGTGCCTGTGTGTGTAATTTCAGTTGATTTTCATATATGGATCTTATGTCCTGTGACTTTGCTAAACTCAATTATTAGTTTTAGCAATTTATTTGTCTGGTAGATTCCTTAGGATTTTCTACATATGAGGTCATGTCATCTGTGAGTAAAGACAGTTTTACTTATTCCTTTCCAACCTGGATGCTTTTAATTTCCTTTTATTATCCCTTATTGCACTAGTTGGAACTTCTAGCACAATGTTCAATAGAAATGGCAGGGACAAATATCCTTGCCTTGTTCCCGATCCTGGGGGGAAGCACACAATCTTTCACCATTAAGTATTATGTTAGCTATAGGTTTTCTGTAGATGCTCTTTACCAAGTTGAGGAATCTCCCTTCCTTCTGCAGTTTGTTATGAGTTTCTATAATGAACAAGTGTTGGACTTTGTCACATACCTTTCCTGCATCACTGAAACAATCATATTTGGCTTTATCTTTTATTTTATTAATTATGGTATACCAGAGTAATTGATTTTAGGATATAAAACCAACCTTGCATTCCTGAGTGAAATCTCTCTTGGTCATGTATAAATCTTTTTATATGTTCCTGGATTCGTTAATATATTGTTAAGGATTTTTGCATCCAAGTTTATGAGGGATTTTGAACCATAATTTTCTTTTCTTGTGATGTTTTTGCCTGGCTTTGATATCTGGCCTCATAAAATGGGTTAGGAAGTATCCTCTTCTCCTCTATTTTCTGAAAGTGTTTGTATAGGATTGGTATTATTTCTTCTTTGAACGTTTGATAGAATTCACCAATGAAGCCATCTGGGCCTGGACTTGCCTTTGTGGGGAGATTTTTAATGACTAATTCAATTTTTTTACTTGGGATAGGTCTATTCAGATTTTCTATTTCATCTTGGGTCAGTTTTGATAATTTGTCTCTTTCTAGGAATTTGTCTATTTCATCCACATTGTCAAATTTTTTGGCATAAAGTTGTTCATAATATTCCCTTATAATCCTTTTAATTTCTATTGGGCTGTACTGATGTCCACTTAGAATTTTAAATTCTAAACAGATCACATCATGATTGAGCTGAATCCAGAGACTGGGAAGACATTGCTTTGTTTTATTTTCAGATAAGGTTAAATTATTTTAATTAGGTTTTAGAATTAAAACATATTTCTTTTAAAAATCACTTATATAAGCTTAGTTTAAGATATGCTAACACTGTAAGATAAGCGAAAACATTCATTTTTAGGAGATATGTGTGTGTGTTATCCTTTTTTAAAACATTTTTAAAAACAGATAAGATTAGACCAAGGACCCAAATGTGTAATTTTCTGAATTTATTAGAGATTTCCCTACAGATTAGAGAAAACAATTTATTCTCTAGAAGTTAGTATTCAAAGAGTAGGTTAACAATAATTTGTGAATACGCTATTCACAAAATAAAATATATTCTATGATGCCATCTGTATGAAGGTCAAAAACAGGCAAAGCTAATCTATGGTGAACAAAAGCCAGAGGACAAAGAAGAAATTTAGGAAAAGAGGATACTGACTAGCAGGGGGGTGAAGGAGTCTTCTAGGAGTACTGGTGATTACATGGATGTATACATATGTGAACATTTATTGAACTGTATACTTAAGGTTTGTAAACTTTACTGTACGTAAGTTAAACCTCAAGAAACAAAAGATAATTGGCAATAAAATGGAATGCAGTACTGATACATGCCACAACATGGATGAACCTTGAAAACATTATGTTAAGTGAAAGAAGCCAGCCACAAAGACCACTTATTATATTATTCCATTTATATGTAATGTCCAGAATAGGAAAATCTATAGACATAAAGTAGATTAGTGGTTACACTGGGCTGGGAGAATTGGAGAAAAATGGAAAGTGACTGCTAATGGGTACAGGGTTTCTCTCTGGGGTAATGAAAATGTTCTAAAATGGATTATGATGATGGTTGCACAACTCTTTGAATATACTAAAAACCACTGAATTGCATACTTTAAGTGGGTATGTGAATTATAATGGTATATGAATTATATTTCAATAAAGTTGTTATATATATAAAACATAAAAAATATATGAAACAAATAGAAAAAAAAATGCTTATTAACATTACCTGTAGATGAAAGACTAGCCTGACTGCATCTCTGAAAGTTATTATCAATGGTGTACTGAAGTCAGTTATTAAATATTCATAAATTTTGTGGGCTGGTTATTAAATCATTGGTAGCTTGAAATCAGCCACAGAAATCAGCAAATCCTACTTATCAGAGGTTTTTCTTTTTCCCCCAGTGAGCCAGTTTACCAGAATACCACTGGTTATTTTGCACACTTAGAAAGAGATCAGTTCAGAGATTATTATAGGGAGGAGGAAACAGACTTATGGATTTTCCCATTAATATTGCAATGGGAGTAGAAAGGGTGACAGACAAAGGATTTTGTGAATGAAGAATAGGTAGGACATGGTAAAAATAAAAAATATTGTCACTTGAGAAAGAGAGGAATTTACAATAACTGAGTTTTTGAACTGAGGAAAATAAGATTGTGGTACCATTAGCAGGAACAGAGAAGTTTTAAAAAAAGGACGTGAGATGAAAGAAAATGAGAACTGAGAAAAGTCTTTTAATTCAGAGATTCAAATGACTATTAGAGACTTTCTAGAATATATTAGTGAAAGTCAGAACACCAGTGCCTTTAACAAAATTAGAAGACAAGGAAATAGATCAGTAATAATCTCTCATTAGAGATGTGAGGCCATAAAGGGAATGAGAAAAACAGAAAGGTACCTAGAGAGGACAGCAGGATCAAGCGGCAGTTTTTTTTTTAAGTGGAGATCTGTACATGTCCAAGACAGAGGAAAAGGAGTCAAATAGACTGAAAATAGTGGAGAAGGAAATAACAGATAATTAAGAAAGGAAGAGTCTAGAGGAATGGCCTCAAAGGAGAGCAGGGCGAGAGGTGTTAGCCCTAGAAATAAGAAGGATCACATTTTTCTAAAAGCAGAAGAAAGGAAAGGTTATAAAAGGACAATGTTGGATGTAAAGGAAGAAAGATATACAAACTTATATCTGATGTCCTCAATTTATATAGTATAGTAAAGAAGGAAGTAAAGTTATCTATGAAGAACAGAGAGGCTGGAATGAGACTGAAAGCTTGAGGAAAGTAGAAAATATTTGGAATGGCCGTTGTGGGAAATGCATTAGAGCATCAGCAAATGATTAATGGAACTATTGAGCACTATATTCAGCCCAAATCAACCTAGAAACTTTAATCTTTAGAAGGCCAAGTTAATAGGTCCAGGAAGAGAAAAAAAGAATTAACAGAAACTGTGAAAAATCTAGGCTTAGGCCCTGGTGAAGGGGAGGGAAGTAAAGAGTTAAGGAGACAAAGGGATCTAGACATTTCTCCAAAAAAGATATACTAATGGCCAAAAAGCACATGAAAAGATGCTCAACAATACTAGTCAATATGGAAATGCAAATCAAAACCACAATAAGATACCACTTCATACCCACTAGGATGGCTATAAGCAAAAAGACAGGCAATAACAGTGATGGCAAGGATGTGGAGAAACTGGAACCTTCATACTCTGCTGCTGTGAATGTAAACTGGTGCATAGCTTTAGAAAACAATTCTTCGAAATGTTAAACATAGAATACCATATGACCCAGAAATTACACTCCTAGGTACATAACCAAGAGAATTGAAAACATATGTTTAAAAAAAACCCTGTACATGAATAATGTTCATAACAGCATTATTCACAAAAGCCAAAGAGTGGAAACAACCCAAATGTCCATCAAGTGATGAGTGGATAAACAAAATAGTATGTCCATACAATGGAACATTATTCATCTATAAAAAGAAATGAAGTATTGATACATGCTATCATCTGGATGGACCTTGAAAACATTATGCTAAAGAAAAGAAGCCAGACACAAAAGGCCACATATTATATGATTCCATTTATATGAAATTTCCAGAATAGGCAAATCCCTAGAGACAGAAAGTAGATCAGTGGTTGCCAGAGGGTGGAGAGGAGGGAATGTGGAGTAACTGCTAATGAGTACAGGGTTTCTTTTTGTGGTAATGAAAATGTTCTGCAATTAAACAGTGGTGATGGTTGTACAACATTGTGAATATACTAAAAACCACTGAATTGTACACTTTGGTTAAAATGGTGAATTTTATGTTATGTGAATTTTATCTCAATTTAAAAAAACACATTAAGTATCCTATCTTTCATAACTGTTTCTTTAATCTTCCTCATATACAGTGTATCTTCCAAGGCAGAAGGCAAATGCAGCTGTCCCTCCTGGCTAGAGTTTGTGCTGAATCAATTCCTCCTAAGTATAGAGAATGAAACCTAAGGTTCTTCACCTACAACAGATCAGCAAAATCTCTCTCTCTAGAGTTGCCTCCAAGTAGAATGAGTAGTATTTTTAAAAACAGACTGTTATTCTCTTCTCAGTTAGAGAACAGTGTCTCTAGAAGCTGAGGTTTATAAAAGTAGGACTAAGTATTTCTACCTATGTTCACCTCAAACATACCTCCTTCATTTTAACCTCAGGAGAATCCTACAGAATAATATTGCTTTCAAGTCTTTTGACTACCTGGTAGTGAAGTATAATGAAAGGGCACGGGTTTAGGACCTGAAAAAACTTAGATCTAAATCTCAGCTCTATTATTTATTTATTAATATAAATTATTACAATAATGCCAGGGGAAAGGCTACAGAGTCAAGAGGAATACCATGTGATGTGAGAAACAAGGGATAAGGAACAGAACAGAAAGATTCCACCCCCTGGGGATCTGTTAAAAAAGGAAAGAAAAATAATAATTCTCCCTGATTCCTCTTGCCATTGTCTATTTTATTTTCTCTCTTAAAAACTTAAAATTAATCTCATCCTTTCTGTATCCACTGTCTTAGTTTAAGCCCTCATCATCTCCAACCTGGATCATTACCACAATCTCACAAGTAGTCCTCCGGCTTCTGTGTATCCGTTTCAACCCATCCTTTCCAAAGCAATCAAGATGATCTTTCTAAATCATAAATCTGACCACATTACCTATAGGATAAAGTTCAAACTCCCTCACACAGCATACAAGATCCTTCATGATCAGGCCCTTGTTTACCTTATCTATTGCAGATTCTATTCTGAACTTTAAGCCTCAGCAATATTACTTGCAGTTTGCTACATACCATTATTTCACACTTCTGAACTTGCACTCTATCTTCCATCCATTTCTTAAATTTCTATTTATGCTTTAAAGTTCAGCTCAGAAATCTCCTTGATGAAGCTTTTCCAAAACCACTGCCCCCACCCCTCAGTCAAAGTTAATCCCTTGCTCCTGTAGACAGCTATTGTACCTCTAACTTCCTTCTATTTGGCCCTTTCATACCGTATTTTAATTATTTGTGGCTATCTCTTTCCCCTATTCGTCTGTGAGCTTCTTAAGAGCAAGGTTATCTTTTCATCTTCGCATCTCCAATGCATAGAAACTAGCACACAGAGGTTCTCAATATATGTTGGTTGAAATGAAATTATGAGCTCTATCTTCATAAGTAGAACTATGGCCAATTTTCCCCAGAGTTTAGGTACTTTGTAACTTATTCAATATATATGATAAATATTAAGATAAGCTAAATGTCCTTCTCTTTGTAAATATTTTTATGATCCTTTTGAAACATCTGTATGAGTAAATTAATTATACTTATAAATAAACTAGCCATAAAGTTATCCCTTAATTTTTCTTCCTTAACTCTTTTCTCTCTCTTCTATCCATTTCATCCTGACCCCCCAACCCAGGTACCTAATACCTGGTGACCCTTCCTATTTCTTTCCCCACTTGCAAGGACAGCACTTTTCTAAAGCTAATGAGCTCTGAGCTATAGAGCTCTACATTATGCTCACATCTCTCAAAAGGAAGGCCTCGTTCGTTTTGTTTTGTTTTGTTTTTTGGTGAGGAAGATTGGCCCTGAGTTAACACCTGTTGCCCATCTTCCTCTTTCTGCTTGAGGAAGAGTGGCCCTGAGCTAACATCTGTGCCCATCTTCCTCTATTTTGTATGTGGGATGCCACCACAGCATGGCTTGATGAGTGGTGTAGGTCCGCACCCAGAATCCGAACCTGCGAATCTAGCCCAGCAAAGCAGAGCGCGCCAAACTTAATCACTGTGCCACCGGGCCAGCCCCAGGAAGGCCTTGTTTATCTTTACACTTCTAGTACTTACTGCCATGCTTGCACATTATAAGTATGTGATAAAATCTTGTTTGCTCAACCCAAATATCAACTAACGAATAGAGAAATAAAACGTGGCATGTGGTATACAATGGAATGTTATTTGGCAATAAAAAGAAATGAAGTACTGATATATGCTACAACATGGATGATTCTTGAAAACACGCTCAATGAAAGACGTTAGCCACAAAACAGCACATACTATATGATGCCATTTGTATGTAACGTCCAGAATAGCCAAATCTATAGACACAGAAAGTAGATTAGTGGTTTCCAGAGGCTGGGGAGGTTGGGAGGAAATGGGGAGTGATTCCTAGTGGGTATGGGTCTTCTTTTCGAGGTGATAAAAATATTCTAAAATTGGTTGTAGTGATGGCTGCACAACTCTGTGAATATACTAAAAACCACTGAACTGTACAGTTTAAATGAGTGGATTACATAATCTCAATAAAGGTGTCATAAAAAAAGAAAAATATCCTTTTTGCTTTTGCTACAGAGTTGAAAGCAGTTCAGAGACAGAAAGGACACAGAGGTGTACAGTGGAGATGACAGACAAGTTTATTTAGCAGATACTCCTCAGCAGGGTTGGTCTAGCCTGTCGGGTAAGTGAATCTTTGACCATCAGCCCATGCTAAATAGCCAGTGCGTTCCAGAGAGGAATGTGCAATAGGCAGCAAGTCACTCAACTGATTTGTGACATGAATATAGGAAGCAAAGTAATTTAAAGCATTGAGATTCCTCAGATTCTAAGGACGAAGAAATTTACGTCTTCTCAAAGCCCATTCCACTAAGACTGGCCTTCTTTGTTCCATTCCTGGCTATGGCAATTGGCTGACAGTTATCACCTACTTGGTTATAACTTTTCCCTACTCCAAGTGAGACTGCTGAATTGGTATCCACCACCATCTCCTTAATCTGAATTCTCTAAAAAACATTCAGAAATTAACAATGCTTTGTTTTGTTGACTGCTGAGCCATTTTCTGAGTTTACTTGTTGTGGTATGTAGAATAATGGCCCCCTAAAGATGTCCACATCTTATTCTCTGGAACCTGTGACTATGTTACCTTGCATGGCAAAAGGGGCTTTGCAGATGTGATTAAATTAAAGGATTCTGAGACAGGGAGACTATCCTGGACTATCTGGGTATGTCCAATGTAATCACAAGAGTCTTTATAAGTGAATGATTGAGGCAGGAGAGTCAGAATCAGAAACAGATATGATGACAGAAGCAGTGGACAGAGTGATATGATTGCTGGCTGGCACCATGAACAAAGCAATGTGGGCAGCCTCTAGAAGACGGAAAAGGCAAGGACATAGATTCTCCCCAAGAACCTTCAGCCCTGCCAACACTTTGATTTTAGCCCTCTGAGATCCATTTTAGACTTCTGACCTTCAGAACTGTAAGATAATAAATCTGTATTGTTTTAGGCCCCTAAATTTGTGGTAATTTGTTACAGCAACAATAGGAGACTAATATACTTGCCACTACCAATATCATCAATAGCAGGCCTGGAGCATATGCCTCCTATTTGTGGAGTCCAGTTACGTTTATTGCTCAAGATAGAGTACTTGTTTGGAACCATTGTTAATTGTCTCAGAGTAGAAATGTTTTTCTCTTTGGGTTATGAAGCTCCAGAACTAACCAGTGGAAACTGCAGTTTGATCAATAGCTAATGGTCAATATATGTAAAGAAAATACAGAAACATACGATTCTGTCCCTGGGATTTTGAAACATGGATTTCATAATAATACTGTGTATTCACAGTATTATTCAATTGAAGTATAAACTTCAATTGTGTATAAGTGTTCTTTGACATGTTTCTTAGGGGAAGCTTAGGATGGGTAGCAACCTGAAATAGGATAGACAGTTTGGAATGGGGTCTTTCATCGAAGGCTTGGCAGTAGTTAGGAAATAAAAGAGAACACCTCAGAGATAAAGGAACATAAGGTAGGGAGTAATAGAAAAAGGTTCTCATCTAAGATATAACCAGTAATAGAGCGGAGGAATGATATGGGAGAAAAGATAGTAAGACACAGAAAACTAAACATTGTGAAATGAAACCAAGATCAGATCACTGCCTGGAGCCCCAATTTCTCTGTTTTATTAGTTTGAATTTTATCTTTAGCCTAATATACATACAACCTCCAAATTTTCCCAATATTCTTTTTCCAATTCCAATATAAAGCTCTTGTAACTGAGCTGTGAAAGAAAGCATAAGATTTCCAACAACTGTGAAAACACTTACTATTCACACTTAACTATTCATTCTTTCCATTATTTAAAAAGACTTGTAACACTGATATCATCAACGTTGTATCAGTTTCTACCCTCCCCCTGCCAGGTTAAGTGTTCAACAAAGAAATCTCTTTACTTACAATTGCACAGCGCGACATTTTAAAAGGAATTCCGTCTTCCTCTGTTGCCCCATTGGGTCCAGGTGCCTCTTTCCTCCTCTTCCTCGTATTGACTTTGGCTGAACTCTGTATGTCCATCTTCTAACTGGTCATAGAAAGTGAAAAAGAATTTTTTTCTTATTGTGGTGGAAAAAAGTCTGTCACCAGTATTTCAGAGATTTTAACATGGATACACTCAGCAAAAGATCAATTCCATAGCACACATTTCACCAAGATGAGCCAGTTGCATCTGGCAAAAACAACAGAGCTTCACGAAACACAGGCTCTAGTAGAAACACTGAAATGCCTCTCTGTGGAACAATTGGCCACAATTAATCACTTGACCTTGTAAATTATTCCCCCTGACCAATGCAGCCTGTATACTAACTGCTAATTTCATATCCTGACTCCATGTAAAAGATTGGAATGGCTTGGCTGAGAAAGTCAGTTATACAGACTTTATCACTACCCTTTATATCATTCCTGGGACACCTGGAAGTATGACAGGTGCAAGGAAATGTGAAAGGTATGTCTTTGGTGCAGATGGAGAAAAGAGCCTTTTTAAAAGAGCGATGGCCATCACCAAGTCCTGATTTAACAAAGCATGGGTTTCTTAACTCTAAATGCTCTGTAGATTTCAGAGACCACTCCACCAGGGTTAGCTCTAAGAAAATTGTGGGGTAAGTGTACTATATCTTTTAAATGTCCTTCCTCTTTCATTTTTAATACTCATTTCTTCTTTTTCTTTCATAATCTTAGCACCTTAAGCTTGTTCACAGCCCCCAACTATTAAAACCCCACCCAGGCTTCTCCTTCCCTCAAGAAACTTATTTATTACTCTCTCATTTAGCAAAGAAATTCTAGCAACTGGCTATCACAGAAAAGTTCTGAATATCTGATGCTTCATGTTTAGATGTTGGCTTGTGCTACCTCTCCAATGCCCTGTCAGGATATCTGCATTTTTCTTGGGTAACATAATTTGCACAGATAAATCAATTTCTTGATAATGCTGAAATTTTAGGCATCAGCCAGACATTGGGGATAGAGGAACTTTAACGATGAACTGCCATCTCTGCCTAAAATATGGTACGGTGAAAGGTGGAAGAAAGATCCTCAGAGCAGAGGTGGAAAACAAAACAAATGCCAGACAGAATGAGAACATTCTACTCTGCCTCACTGCCTCTAATAAGCCCTCCTGAATAAGATGTTCATCTAAACACCCGTAATTGTGCCTTACTTTCTTTCCTCCGGCTAAATTCAAAGTGGCAATGTGACAAGATTTACAAGAAACCTGACCTAATTGTTACAGACTGAAGGTGACACTCATGAGTCATGGCTAAGTATTAGGCTGATATGAAAAAATGTCAGAGTCTAAAGTGAAAGATGAACACTACCCAGAAACTTCCTTTTATCACAATTGTAAATTAAAATGGAAGACAGGTACTATACATTTAACAAGTTTTTCAAGTGGTGATGATCAGAGCTTTTCTTCACCATTGTTATTAATTATTCTTTCAAAATATCCAGAAGTCAGTATTACTTCTCCCATCTCACTGGTCTGAGAGTCCTGCGAAGAATGCCTAACCAATGCAATTAGTACACCGTTTCTAATTTGCATACAACAGGACTTTGCTATAAGAATCTGTTAAATTCTTCTCAGGCTTGGTAGACAAAATCTGTCATGAGAAATGTAATCAGCTGGTGTCAGGCAGCTCAAGGTCAAGTAGTCAATAATACTGAATACTTACTGTGTACAAGGTACTACTCTAACACAATTTTAAAAGTAAAACTATTTTCTCAAGAAGCCTTTAATCAGGCAATGAAACCACGTGCAGAGCCTCACCTTAAAAAATGTTTATGATATTATAATGCTCCTTGGGATTCTAAAACCATCACCAAAAAGTTTGTTGAGGAACAGGATATTTACACAGTTTCAAAGTATCTCCTTATAGATAAAAGTTACCTTTACATGTAGTGAAAAAACTCTTAGCTAAGTGATCCAAGCTAACTAATATCACCAATAATGCCTTCTGATATGAGGCACTGAGGATGCATTACCTGCCAAAAATGCATAACCTGTATTGATTTATGAGATACAAAAAGACAAACCCCAATTAAAGGACATTCTATGAAACAAGGCCTGTATTCTTCAAAAAATGTCCATCATAAAAAACAATGAAAGGCTGAGGGACTGTTCTAAGTTAAAAGAGACCAAAGAAATGACAACTAAATATAATGCATAATTCTAGATTGGGGGAAAAAATGTAATAAAAGATAGTTATTAGGACAATCAGTAAAATTTGAATATGGACTATGTATCAGATAATAAATGCATCAATGTTAAAATAAACTTCCTGATTTGATAATTACACTGTGTTATGTAAAAGACTGTCCTTGTTTTTAAGAGACAAATGCTGAAGTATCGAGGGATCAGGGTCATGATCTCTGCAACTTACCCTCAGCAAAAAAAAAAAATGGAAGAAAAATGTGTATATTACATATAAAAAAGATAAAGCAAATATGGCAAAATGTTATCGATGTATGAATGTAGGTGGGGCATAAAGGGGTTCATCTTAATATTCTTGCAACTTCTCTATTGGCTTTACTTTTTTTTTCAAAATAAACAGTTTCATTTTAAAAATGCTCTATAACAATTTTCTACACAGATAGGCCTTCATATAAGATTGTCTTTTGGGGCCTCTAGAAACTGATCTTCTTTCCTTCCTAACTCTTTGAATCAGTATACATGATACATATATTCCAAGAAGTATGTTTTCATAATCTAAATATCTTGCAAGGAAGTAAGGTAAAAACAGCAACAGTCATAATAATGGCTATCTTTTTTTGAATATTTACTATGTGCAAGTACTATGCTAAGCACTTTATATACATTATTCTCATTTAACCCATATAACCTGAGAAGCAGGTATTATTAGCTCCAACTTATAAATGAGAAAACTAAGGATCAGGGAGGTAAAGCAACTATCCAAGAGATCACACAGCTAGTAAGTCGGAGCACCAGGATTTAAATCCAGATTTGTCTAATTCTAAAGTCCTTGCCAGTATATTCTTCTGTCTCCCAGAAAGCCAAGATTTTTAAAAAGAAGCTGTCTCATTACTGCTGCTTCCTTATATCAAGAACATTCTCTCTACAGCATAGGTCTCTTAAGTTTTTGCAGACTTACCTCAGGCCAGCCTAATTAAACAGTGGAATAAAGGTAAACAAGGTCCCAGGACCAATCAAATAGAACTGACGTGGCTATTGGCCTGATTCAGAGGCTGCCTGATTTGTCAGCTGTAGAGATGTGCGGATCCTTCCTATCGGAGAGTTTTGCTAGGATTTCCTGACAAGCTTTCAACTGAAGCAATAAAGAATTCTTTAATCTCTGCTCCTCCCTCTTTTGACATTACAAACAGGTAGTATTTTAAAGGCCTGTGTACTTTTCATTCATGATACAAAACAGAGTTTTAAGGGTACCATAATAAATCAAGGAGATAAATGTCATGTGATATTTTCATCAGTTATGTTCTGTAACTTCAAGTTAAAATTCCTTAATGCTTAATAGAGAAATACTTAACATGTTCAAAGACATGTTTATAGGAACTTCTCAGAAGTCTTTGCTTCGTGTGTGGGAGGGTACATGTGCTATAATATTTTTATAGCTTTATTGAAGTATAATTGACATACAATAATCACTACTACTACTAACAGTGGGCACTTATATAACACCTGTATTTTGCCTAAACACTTTAAAAATATTAAAACTCTCTTAACATTCACAACCCTTTGACATAGGTGTATTATTTTTACCACTATTTTATAGATGAGAAAAGAGAGACACAGAAGATAGGGTTACACCGCTAGTAAGTGGTGAAGATAGAAATCAAATTCAGTCAGCCTGGCTGCAGATTACACACCCTTAACTCCTTTAGTATATGATACAATATGATACTATACTATACAAGAAGGTATCCGATAACCATCTCTAAATATTTGAATGCCTGTCATATTGGATAGGGCAGAGACTTATTCTATCAAAGTCCAGACAAGAGAAAATGGATTGGAAGATGCAGAGACACAAATTTTAACTAAATATAATAAAAATCTTTTTAGGAACAAGAGTTATCTGAAAAGCGACTGGGTTACCTCAAGAGGCATTGCATTTTGGTACACCAGGACATTCAAGCAGAGGCTGTGTAAAAATACATTTATTCATTTTGTAGCTCATGATCCTGTTAAAGTCCATCTTGGTTGATCTTTTAGTATGTTCCAATCTGTTAAAATAATTTCAAATCTTGACTGCCATTGACCATATTAGCTATTTATCACACCTTCATGTAATCTATAAATTTGAAAAGCATGGTTTTTATGTCTCCTTCCAAGTCACTGCTGAAAATACTGATCAGGATAATCCAATACATGTTACCATACATCAACGTGACATACCACTAGAACCTCTCTCCTCATTGAGATCCACCTTTAATACTCTTTAAGTTAGTACAACATAAAACACAGTCGAGTCTTCTCTAGAAAACAGAATAGAGAATACATTTAGAATTCTTAATGATTAGGGTATTCAATCAGATGTAAACCTGTTTCATCGTACTATCACACAATCCACATTTCTCTATCACACTCCCAAAGATTATGATAATAGTGATGATAATTATAGCTAACACTTATAGAGTACTTCCTATGTGTCAGGAAATTATAAACCTTTTGCATATATTAAATAATTTAATCCTCACAACAATCCTATGAGGTAGGTAATACTATTATCCCTGTTTCGCAGATGAGGAAATTGAGGCACAGCTAGGTGAAATGACTTGACTAAGGTCACACACCTAGGACAGGGCAAAAACAGGATTTGAACCCAGGCATCCTTGCTCTAGGGTCTGTGCGCTTCACAACACCACTATGCTGCCTAGTATATAAAATGGCCATACATGAATTTAATCAAAACCACTTATTGCACTCTGGCCATGTGCTACATTGATGTCAGGCAGGAATTTAACTTCATCTTCAGAAAGACTGGGCTCCCTTCCCACTGGGCATTATCACTGACAGGCTACTCAGGCACTCCAGGGGCTTGTTTTGGTTTGGGC